ATGTTATTGCATGCTTCCTATGCTACTTACAAGTCACAGAGGATTATTCTCTGGCTTTGAAATCCAGGGAACATTTACATTCTGGGGGTTTTGGCCCTCTAGTGCTGCTCTCACTGGAAATACCACAAATGGACCAACAGCATCAAAAGACAGGGACTAATTCTCTTTCAGTTTTGCATGTTAGCTTTCTAAGTCAAAATGCCAAGCTCTAGGGACTGGGTGAACGGCCCTCAGTCTTGGGCTTCAGCTCTATTTCTTGCTCCCAGCCCACTGGAGATGAAGGTTTCTCTTAACTAGAACAGCTGCTGGCTGATGAGGCTGACAAACCTGAAGTGAGCAAATAAAATGGCGCAGACCCAACATTACCACGAAACATGGCAGGCCACTAGTGCAAGTCCACAGACAGTCCCAAGATCGCCAAGAAACATGACAGGGTACTGAATGAAGAGTTGGCTGCATCCAGGGTCCGAGGATGCCATAAAGCTGCAGAGACCTTTCCCGTAGTTTCTCCTTATCTACTGGAAGCAGACCACATCCCCAAGGCCGCTACTCAGCTGGCCCAACAGATGCCCCCGCGGAGTTAATGGCCAGGCTCATCGTGGGGGAGTAACTGCAACCAGCTGCCCAGACACCCAAAAGCAGGCCCAGCCAAGTCAATGCACAACCTAACTCCCACACCGGGTTTCAGACATGGTTGGGAATGGCACCTTCTTTACTCATTTTCGATGGTACTCAGATTTCACCTGCACAGACCCTGGTTCTCTGTACATTCTTCACATAAACACTAGGATACAGCAAACTCATGCCCTGTTCTCATTACAGAGAGCAGATTCTGAAAACCTCATGAGGCATGTCCATCTCAGCCACAGAGGTGATTCAGGAAGGTGGTTGTGTCCACTTGTGAGGGGTAAAGGCCCACACACTGGGATAACTCTTACCAGGTATGTGCTCAGGTTCACTTGACACTGTCCCTCCATGTCCTGCCTGTAGTTTTACTTCAGGAAATTATGGGAAATATTGAAATAGGTTAAAGGAAATCAGCTTATGGATAGCAAGAGTTTATCAAAGTGCAATCCACAATAAGAAATCATAATTTTACCCAAAACCTTTTTTTGTCACCAAACAACCCCCAGGACACCCCTGTCTTCTCTGGGGTATGGCCCTCTCAGAAATCATGCAATGCCACCCATTGCTATATAGGAGGAGAACATGCAAATTGGGCCCTCCCTCTACTGATAAAAACCAGCCCAGCCCCAAACCTGCAGCTCTGGGAGTGAAGTCCCAGGCCGGGATCCCAGGTGGCCCCAATCAGTGATCTGGACTGAACACAGACGAGTCTCCATGGAGTCTGTGCTGTGTTGGCTTTTCCTTCTTGCCCTTTTAAAAGGTCATTTTATGGGGAGCAAGTGCATGTGAATGGGCATGAGTGAGAGAAACAGTGGACATGTGTGTGATGGTTTCCTGACCATGATGTCTCTGTGTTTGCAGGTGTCCAGTGTGAGGTGCAGCTGGTGGAGACAGGGGGAGGCCTGAGTCAGCCTGGAGGGTCTCTGAGACTCTCCAGTGCAGCCTCTGGATTCACCTTCAGCGATTATGGCATGAACTGGGTCCGCCAGGCTCCAGGGAAGGGGCTGCAGTGGGTGGCATTGATTAGCTATGATGGTGGTAGCACATACTACGCAGACTCCGTGAAGGGCCGATTCACCATCTCCAGAGAAAACGCCAAAAACACACTGTATCTGCAAATGAACAGTCTGAAAGTCGAGGACAC